GGTAACAACATGTGCCTTATGCACGTTACGTGTATGTACAATGCATAAAATAGCATACTAAAACGCGCCGGAAGAGATTATCAACCTTTGTACTGTTCTAATTATTACACCGCGTGATGTTTTATTCAATTCTTGATACATGCGAGACAATTTCGCGGTAACTACCACGATTATTCGAAGGAGTATCTTATATCGTCTGTAATTATTCGTAATAGTATCGCGGTTCACAGCAATGCAGGTATCACTTTGATGCTTCATCAGATACGTATAATAGTTCGTTGAAGACGGACACGACCCTCAGAAATTATGTTAAGAAATTTAACGCTAGAGAAAGCTATTAACATTGTTCGACTGAGCGTGGCTCTGTCATTTTGTTGGCCGCTGCGTGCAAGCAATAGCAAAACTGTGATCTTTGGTTACAGAGTAATGCAAATTTGTGCAGCTATTAACATATCCTTATTACTTCTGCCTACATTATACACGGTGTATTTACGATCGGACGTAGAAATTGTTTCTCACTGTGTTGCCCAGGCGATATGCGAGTTTCAATGTATCGTTCAAACTATTATATGTTTCAGCAAATACGACACTCTGCAAGTAAGTTTCTCTCGTTACTTTACGTGGAAAATTTTCAATGCTTTAAGAATAGATTGCAGCGTATAATAGAGGAGTTGTGGAGCTTCATCGAGGAGGCTCAACGATACGAGAGGGATATTCTTCACGAGTATTTTGCGAGAATCAACGTGTTTTATGGCGGTTACATCGTAGCTATGTACATCATCGGGTTCTTTGGTGTGATCGGAACCTTGTTCCTTCCAATTGTTGATCTAATGTTCGCTGAGTATCCGTTTGACGTTAATAATCGGACGTTAGTGAGCGTTATTATACGTGCGCAGCAAATCATCGCTTGCCACCAGGTATGCGCCCACGAATGCATGTGTTTGTTTAGTGCGCTACTAATTTGGTTCACCGCAGCGAGATTCGAATGTTTAATAGTAGAACTGCAGAGCGTCGCGGATATTCGTATGCTGGCCCCGTATATCGAGAAACACTTGCGTTTAAAGAGGTAATAGCGATGGCTTACCAGATGTATTTGTCAGTGTACGCGATCATTTCATTTTTTTTTTCAGATACGCGGAAGAAGTGGCTGATTGTTTTCGTTTCATGGTTCTGTTTGTCATAGCAGTTTGTACGTTTGTCATAACTATATGTGCCTTAGCAATAGTCACGGTAAGTATGGCATTTCAGCGACAATTCTGCGTACAACCATCTAATTAGTGCAATTTACGAACAGAATACACCACTGATAGCGAAAATGCTGTTCGTAGTAGTAACTGCGTCCCTGCTCATGCATATTTACATGTACGCGTGGCCGGCTGATCACATGAAAGAAATGGTAAATCGTGCATTCAGTTGAATGATATACGTGTCTTATCAGTCTTCTATAATTTGCAGAGTTTGAAATTTTCACAATGTGTATATAATTTACCATGGTACGAACATACAACAAGGATGCAGAAGAATCTGCTGAATGTCTTGATATACCAAAAGCCAGTTATTCTTTCCATCAGTTGTCTACTACCGGAGCTTTCTTTGCGTTACTATTGCTCGGTAAACTGTATTAATGTTCGAGCGTTGTTTAAGGGTCATGTTGCACCAAGGCTCATTCTCTAATTAT